CCATGACTGCTTCCAGTAGCATGATATGTCTTGGGTTCCGGAGTCACTTCATGGGAGGCAACTTGTATGGTCATCAAATCGGTTGCCGCGACTGCTTGACCCATTCCCCAAGCCTCACTGGCCTGCCTCTCCAACTCTTCCATGACCAAACTGGCGTCGTATTTCGCACGTGCCATACCGGTAAGTCTTTGGGGATTTACGACTTTCCCCTTGGACGGAGCTTGACCCATCGGGGCGAATCTAAAATTTGCTCAGTATCTCGCCTACCATATGAATAAAGAAGACTATTTACCTCGTACTAAAGTGATTGAGCACGAGTCTCCTCGCCTTGATCTTCTTTGCAAATTCTCCGGCCATCTCGGCGGTCGAGTGTCCCCTTCCTATTGCCTTGTAGCGCACGCTCTCCGGGGTTCCGCTCGAACCCAGTCCTCTAATGTTCTTGGCTATCTCCTTGGAGATGTATGCATTGGTAGACTCGTGCACGAGAATACTGGCGTCCATGGCTATGGGGATCACTTCGCTAGGTTCGCAAGTGTCGCCAAGGACGACCACCTTTCTGCCTGGTATATCAAGAGTTGGTGGCTCTAGAACTGTGCCATCTGGAAGTGTTACCGACTTTCGGTCATTTACGATGGTTTTGATGAGCGAGTATGGGTGGCGGATGTTCTGTTCACGCAAGGCTTCTGCATTTCGGTCGAGATGTGGGAGGTATACGTCCGATTTGGCACTGGAGAATGACTTTTCTTTGAAGACGTATCCAAGGCAGCGAGCTATAGATTTGTCGGTTAGGTAATTATAACTGAGAGGAGAGGGACATACTTCGATGAACAATCTGCCCGGCGTCAACGGACCAGTCGCCGTCGTTAAGAAACTCCTTCCATAGCCCATCTTCATCGGCTACGATGTCCATTCCCGGAGCTTCATTGTCGTGGAGCAGGTCCTCAGAGCATGATACAGAAGGTTGCTCATCCTTTTTCAAGAGCTCGTGGACGGCATATTTTCCAACGAGATTGGTTTCGGTGATACTGAGATTGAACCGAACAAAGGATCGTATACCAGGTGGACCGTAGATGTGCATTCGTATTGACGAGATAAGAGAATCTGGGTCTCCGTCGTACATGGCGCTTCGCAGAAGAGGAATGAGGCCCATGATATGATCCACTAGTAAAGCCACGGTACCGACATTAGTAAAAGATACTAGATAGAAGGTAGAGACCTACCATGTAGATGGGTAATAAAGACCTTTCGAACCTTCCCTATCCGCAATGTAAGTGTTCTTAGCAGTTGGGTCTGGGTCCCTTCAGCGCAATCAATCACTGTTGAAAGTATGGTTAGAGCATGCAAACAGAAGAAGTACATTTATGACCGATTCAATCCTGACACCCCATCTGTGATGGAGGACATTCTCGGCCAGTCATGCTCGCACTAGATATTGTGACGTACGCCATGTCGCGCTCTCCATGTTTAAGGCAGTTGAAGTGCATGCTCGAGATATGAGAGGTCCTCCACCAGAACATGTGCCCAGAAAAGTGAGTGATACTGGCTTCATTTTCATCCAAATCGCCGAATGGCCAGGTGCAAGCTTAAATTTCACTTGCGGCAACCTGCGGCCGCCCGAATAAACTTGAACTCCACCTTGACCAGGAACGAGTTTCCGAATACGTAAACATTTACACAATTTAGGATTCACACTGTTCTAAGCAAAATCAAACCCAATGTAGTCAACATATCGGATTTTCGCTCCTACCGTGTTGGTGATACCCCTCTTCCGACCATCACTTTCCTCCTCTCCTCCTGAACCACCCAAAAACCTCCACGAATCCAGAATAGTTGCCTTTGCTGAACACACCAAGCCGTATTACGAGCAATTCAAACTACTCGAACCCTATCCCATCTTTCCTTGAAGATTGTAAAACTTCAGATCATATATAGAAGTGCTTCTACTTTTCAATTCTAGCTTCTTGCGATGACATGACATTCTCTAGTAGTTATGCATCTAAGTTATGAATGTGGAGTGGAGTACACTGAGGGATCCGAGATTAACAATTGTCGGATAGAACTTAACAGCATCCTGGGATGAGTGAAGTGAACACGGACGGCATGCTACCAATGTTTCCTCTCTTAACTGAGTATTATCAGAACTGTTTCTCCTGTTTATAAGAAGCCTTGAATGCACGAAGATTTGACTTCGCTGCTTTAAACTTTGTTCGGAGTTTGTCCGATACTGTACAGTTGGAATCTAGACATTTATAATTCAAGATACATATCACCTCCTCAAGGCTTTACGTGTATTTGACTAGGGTCTCCAATAGACCTTTAGCCGTCCCTTCCTGCATTATTTCCACTTCCTGCGGCGATATGAACGCCCGAGATGACCTTTCTGCAAAGATCATTTGCACTGCCGCTGCTATAATCCTACCCTGCACCCCATTTGTAGAAGTCTGAATGGAGTTCGAAGCAGCACGGGACTGCGCATTCGGATATAAAATGGTTTCCTCTGCATCGGACCCTGCAGAGAGAGCAGTGGATGGTAGAATAAATGGCTCTACCGGTACATTCGTCGGTGGTGGTGGGGCCGCGGATTCTTCTTCCCCAGAAGTGTAGCCGTTGGTCTTTGGACGGTGGGGTAACCGAGGTGGATGCGCCCTGGGCCAACTATTGGAAAGGTGAAGAAGATGAAAGGTCTCCATCTACAAGTTGCATAAATAGACTGGATTTGTGGAGTAGCCTGTGTCCTTACCTCGAGCGACCCAACACCACTTTCGACCAAGTGATCAATCAAATTCTCATTGTGATCGGGAAATGATGTAATACGTCCTTGAGAAGAGTAGAAGCTGTCGGCGGATGCGTTCAAATAGTCACCGTTGACCACGACGTGGGACGGTAGAGTTTCTCGTAGCGTAGAGATCAACTGCCGAGACGAGCTGTTAGCCGCAGACTTTCTCCCCTCTATCGATAATACACACCAAGTCGTGTAGGACTGGGTCGGCTGGTGTCTATTAAGTTTGGTAAGCGCCAAGTTACAAGACGTCATCCAGCGAGCTGCGCGGGTTCAAACAAAGAAAGGTTATTCACCGGCTTTGAGATCCGATACGCATCAAGGAACTCCCGTGAATCCTCCGAAGCCTCTTTTCCTAAGAAATCATAGTCGTAGTTTCTCGTAATCGCAACCGCGGCTTTGGGAACCGTCAAGGAGCCGACAGGAAGATCAGATACCAGGCCACCACAAGATCCAAATCTGCACACAACTTCCGTCAGTGCCCACTCTCACCACCATTCCACACCCAGGGTTATAGGAACTGCTAGTAAGCGCTGACCTGATCACTACCATATTCTTCTCTCCTGATTCGTCCAATACCTCCCTCGCTTCGCGAACGAAAAAGTCCATATTGGGCGCTCCCATTCCAATACTAACTATGCTGACAGGTACCGATTTATATGTACCGGTAAGAGTAAGGAAGCCCCTTTCTGAATAGAGTTCGAAGAGAGATGGGTTGATGGGGTTCTCTGTCTCGACAGTTGGAGGTGGGTGGTCCAGGTATTTCGCAATCGTCCTTGCTCTCGCCGGGTCACCGACTGTTATCTGTTTCAAATAATTTGTGGGTATCAAGTGTTATTCGATGTTTTTTTGGAGGATAGATGGTTGATACCGACGATTCGACTTGCAAGTTCGCCCGTTCGAATGCCAAGATGGTAAACACGACCTTCGGCAGTCTTGGGAAAATCTGATAAAATATCATAGCGGCATTGGGAAAGATGCTGGGGTCAGTAGACATCCTTTCTTGCCTTGGCCTTGTTTAGCCGGATAAAGAACTCCTGATTACTTACTAGCATCGCTGATTTGGCTCTTCATGTGAGTATTTAGATGAAAATTATCGTCCACTCATATACTGGGTATAATAGATATGAGAGGGTGTTTGCCCAATGACGATGGTGATGATACTTGTCTTGGAAGTGGCTGGGTGAGACCAGAATTCAGTTACTTTCACCACCGGCAAGTACGGACACAAAACTCAAATTCGACATTTACGCACCTTCTAAATAGGACAACAAAGGTATGGCCCGGAAATCTTCGCCGTCATATCCTCTCTTCTAGTGGCCATCAGATGTGCGGGTAGAGGAGCAGTATGAGCATTCAAAACAGATGTCGTCAGTAGTAGAGTAGTCACTAAAGATCCAGATTTGCACGCTATAGTCGTGTTGACGAACTTCCGAGCAGGCCATCCTGGTTTTGTCTCGTGTTCAACATAAACCAGTCATAGAGCCTCGATGTATATTCTATATTTAACCAGTGTAGTTTTAATGCGACAAATATTCCTAAGGGCGCCGTTAATAACTCTCTAGGACGGCCTCATATCCGGAGCTACTATCGTACCTGCAGTATTTCGTGGTCATTTTTCGATAAGGATTTTGATAGACCAAGCTTATGCCAATTATATGCGTTGAAACCGCGTATTAGAGGCTGAATAAGGGTCACCAACGCGGCCCGTAGTTTCTGGTGGTTGTTGCCAGAAAGATGGGCTTGCGTTGTTTGGACCTGACCGCTGCGACGACAAATCGCCGCTGGAGAAAAGTGGCATCTGAATACAAAATATTCCACTCATTGCTGCAATTTATGTACCACTACCTCGTTGAGATCGACAAAAAGGGCAATCCATCATCTTAATTGGCCAATCAGAAGGGCCGCCGACCACTAGAATCCGTAGGAGAAACCATGGGAAAGGTTTCGTCCAAGAATACACAAGAGCAAGGTTGCGAATAATTTATCTTGAACGTGGCAGCTCGTCGGCAACAGTGGACATTCGTCGCCTGAACTCTGAATTAAGCTTCGTCAATGGCCCAAACGGGCTCCTGAATTCAGCTTCAACCGGATCAAACTATGCTTTTGATCTAGCTAGATACTCGGCAGTAACCCTTGTTCACATGGGATCGCATCTCATTGGATATTCATTCTGCGCACCTATGATATAAGGTCATCGACAGGAACTAGAACTAGGTCAATAAGGAGACCCCACTATACTCCACTCTCTTATTTATCCATAAGTGGGACCGAGTTTACTATCTTTTATGAGGCCACACTCTTTTGTAACAAGCTCAGTCATGCGGGCGACCAGCATGGCCTGTAGTCTCGCTCTTTTCCTCAACTCATTGGCCGTTGTGGACGCAGCCGTCTACTCGCAAACTCAAGTTTGGAAGAATGTAGTCATAGGGGGTGAGTGTGTATATGCATATGCCCGTTACTTATTCTGATTGTGCCTTGATGCAGCTGGTGGTTTTGTGCCAGTGGGTTCAACCTTTCCTGTATACCTGCGCAAGTTTGCTAATATCCCTCTAGGGAATCGTATTCAGCCCTGTGAAGCAAGGCATAGCCTATGTTCGGACTGATATTGGTGGTGCCTACCGATCAAATGGCGATACATGGGTACCTCTGAATGATTACGTCAACGATACAACGTGGAACCACGCTGGAGTTGAATCAATCGCACCCGGTAAGTCTCAAAATGAATTCTATTCTCATCACATACGACTAACAGACTCCTTCGAAAGACCCTATCAGCCCAGACACCGTCTATGCAGCTGTCGGAATGTACACGATCTCTTGGGATTCAAGAAACGGAAGCATTATCAAGTCCACAGATCGGGGTCGCACTTGGACGACGTACCCACTACCTTTCAAATGCGGCGGAAACATGCCCGGAAGGGGAAATAATGCAGGAAGG